TGTACATCTTCTCTTTGTTCAACGAAAATAGGAAGCCAGGGTTGGAATCTGAGAGGAATTGGGGGCTATTTTACCCGGACCAGACTAGCGTCTACAACCTGGATTTCACTGGAAAAGGTTCGGTGGATATGACTACAGGGACTAATGTTACCAGTTCAAATGGAACAACAACAACAACAACATGGTGCATTGCTTCGAGTAAGGCTTCTGAACTCGACTTGCAGAATGCCTTGGATTGGGCTTGTGGTCCTGGGAATGTGGACTGTAGAGCTATTCAGCCTAGCCAGCCTTGTTTCGAGCCAGATAATACAGTGGCTCACGCATCGTTCGCATTCAACACTTATTACCAGCAAAATGGGGCTACTGATATTGCTTGCAGTTTCGGAGGTACAGGGATCAAGGTCGATAAGAACCCAAGTACGTGTTCACGGATCCAAACCCTGCTGTTAAACCGGATTTCTTTAACAGGTCTCGCTGAAAACTAACTAATCTTCCTCCGCTTGTGCAGGCTATGACAACTGCATCTATATGACTACTGGGTAAGTTTTATACAAACAAAAACCCCACGAATTCAGTTTGTCAATTTTGCACTCCATATATACCAAGCTTTTCTTCTTTTGCAACTTTCGTACAGGAGCAACAAAACCGTATCAAGTAATACGACTGCAATATCTTCTACTTCCTCTTCCACGAGGAACGGAGTTCAAGCATGGATTTTTAGTTGCCTTCTGGTGACTTTGATGTCATTCCTTTCCGCGGAGACCAGATAATGGCGATTGGCGACTCTTGTGTTCCGGTGATTAGCGTAATGCAGGGAGCGGTGTTGGTTTGAAAGTTGTTGCCCCGTTTTCAAGGGAAAGAATTGTAATTGCTGAACATCAAACTGCTCCCTAAGTTTTGTATGATAGCGTTTGTCTTCTGAAGATGGGATGACGTGAATCGCATATTCTTGCAGAGGCTTAGTTTGAACTAAAGATGTTGCATCTTATGTTTGAACTTCACACCTCGGTTGGAGAGGACGAGTCGATGTAGCTACGATATACATCTGCAATGTGTCAAGGCAATACCAAAGTTTCATGCATACACTTCGGTATTGCCTCGACACGTTAACTGTGCCTGTAACTTATGCCACCACCACCTCAACTGAAGCTGGAGACTACACTGGAAACTAGTATCTTCAAATCATGCAAATCAATTTTCTATAAATCATGATAAAAATAAATTTTCTATAAATCATGCAACTCAATTTGCAATACTGAAATTCATTGGGCAAGTACCTCGCTTGAAAATCATACAATACAAATCGTCAAAGAAGTACAAAGACAATAACACAAAGACCATAATCATCATTTCTCAAGCACCAAATATCGTTTCTGCACGAGGTTCCAAAGCTAGCAATACAGGTAGTTTTTCTTCTCACTGCAGCAAAACATTTTCGGCAGCCAGTCAGGATGAGTAGATGAAAACTTCTATAGAAATCAAGAAGATTTACCTAACCAAAAGCCTAAGAACTTGCCTAAACTAGGATGCACCATGGTCGTATTACCACTCTTAAGTTGTGAGCATTACCACCATGTTAAGCGCCATTGGATGAGTTTAAATTTCCAGATTTATGTGGCAAATATAGTAAATCAAACTCATCTAATGGTTATTAATGTGATGAGATGAAATGTTCACCGCTGCTTAAGGGCGGTGAGCAAAAATGCACATCCAAACAAGCACTGCATCTGCATATATTTTATATTTTCCAATGGAAGATCTTGATTGGCTTGTCGGCAAGTTTCTCTCAAGTAAAAGAACAAACAACATACCAAGGTAACTAGAGACCCTGCTCAACGAGATAATCCCCAAGCCTCTCAACAACCATGTTGCATTGGCCAGGAGTCATCGGCTCATCATATATGCCGATCAGCAAAGCCATAGTGCTCTTCTTGACAGTGACACCACCAGGGCCCTGCAATTAAAGTGACACAAACCCAGATCAAAAACCATGAAAACAAAAAATGAAGGGAAATACGAACAATTACTATAAACTTTCAATAAAAATAGCAATGGAGCAACAGGAACATCCAATAACGAATCACTTGTTATATACCCGGGTTACAATGTTGAGGATCACAAATTCTCATCTCCATACATGTTATGTAACCAGTTCAATTTGTGCGTATTTCCCGAAACCAAAATACATAGGCATGAATCATGCATGTGGTTTGTAAGTACTGGAAACGCATGGATCAAATTAAGCGATAAATACCTTCTTTCCTCGAATCACAACTCCTGGTTCACCCTGGATCACCATGTATTTGGTCCCTCCAAGATACAGCCCGGTCGGAGCAAGTGAACCCGGTTCATTGAAGTCATTCATAATGCCAGTCACCTCCTCAGGCTTCAACTAATTGTCCCAAACAATAACAACCAAAACACTAATCAATCAATAATCAAGCACTAATCTTTATCAAATTACGGCATCCAGCGATGTGATTATATAAAAACCCAGATCAAAGATCGCACAAATCGATTTGTTTACCGGATCAAACTTTGACTTGCCCACGAAAAATCTAAGCTTTAAGCAAGATGGGATTATAAAAATTGACATTTTGAGGTGTTTTATAGGAAGAGAGTGAAAAAAATGATGGGTACCTGAGGGAAGGTGGCGCTCTGGGCCCAGACGCTGCCGTCGTGGCCGATGATGGCTGCGGCGGAGAGGTGGTTGCCTTCGATTTCGCACATCAGATGGTCGTCGACGTACGTTTGCCAAGACATGTTGTTGCTGTTTTTTGACGTTTCTCGTAGGTTTTTGTGTGTCTGGTGGGATTTGCTGCTGATCGGAGGTTTTGGGGTGTCTGCGGAGGAAATTCAGCCCTCGTTTCAACCCTGAGTCTTCTCTACTCACCAGCCAGCGCACCCAGTTTTTAAATACTTTTTCTTTTTCTAAATTTTCTTTTATTTTTATTTATTTTTTGTCCGAAGGGTGAATCTCTTTAAATTGTGAATATTTTTACCTTTTTTTCTTATAAAAATATTAAGAATGTATTAAATGATTTCCCCCCTTAAAAAACAAATTTAGGAGATATTATGTGTTCAATATAACTTGTAAATATAGTTGAAATTTGTGTGATTATTAAGGACTATATTACTTCTTTTATCTTTGATATTGTGCAAATTATCTCATTTGTAATATAATTGCAACTTCAAAAGTTCTATATTTCTTAGAATTTAAGAATACGAGAGTTCTCAAATGTGGGATGGAAGATACATAATTAATGTCAGGTGAGACGACGCTCGAATGTTAATTAATTATAGAGTTCAAACCATATACTCACGTGACAATGTCTCGTATCTTTCATATGATATTTTTTTTAAATGGACCCGCTGATAATTTTGTTACGACAATCCATTTTTTCGGAGGTCGGGAAGACTCACACCCTGACCATTATCGTGTAATTCACCAGTGTCATGAATCAAACCGATGACGTGTCGTGTTGAGTATAGGTCTGAAATTTATCCTCAACCACTGGGTTATCCCATGATAATTAGTATCTTTTATGATAATGTGCATTTTTTGGGTAAGTTAGATGTCATATCCGTTTCATATCAACCCCACATGCATGAATAAATGCATGAAATTGATGTAACACACCCACCCTCTTGTGTGCATTTTGCTTATATTTCTTTTGCAAATGCAAAAATAGCACATAGGAAATATGCCAAACAAATTCATCCCACTGGCATGAGTATGAAATTTAGAACATTAAACTAGTTTAGGTTCTCTTATAGCATCTTTAAATGAGACGTTAAATTCAAAACATCAAATTTCAATTTGATGGCTTCTTTTACACGTGAGCTTTTGGTAATTTGGTTGAAGTAAAAGAATACGTCATTTTTTATTATTTTTTTTAATACATCGATATTTTTACATTAAGGGGAGAGAGAGTTCGGCTAAGTCACATAATGGGCAATCTAATTTGGTATTGAATTTGTCATCCACGAGATTCGAACCTAAGACCTCTCACTTTCAAGTGAAGAGTAATACCATCAGACCGTAGTACTGAGTGGCGTTTATGTTATATTTTTTAACATCTTCTTTGCTATTTTCTCTCCAAATCTATTCATTTTTTATTTTTTTAAGAAATGCTTCACACCAATTTGCTCCTACAATATAAAAACCATGATCTTTGTTCTTTCCCACCGACGAAGCTTAAAGCTACAAAAGGATAAAATAAATTATGAAAAAAGGCCAAGCTTAGGAGAATCTCAGTCCATGTCTTACTCTTGTTTGTTTCTTTCTGGTAAAAATACTTCTGATTTGTTCATCTTTTTCTTAACCCTAACAGTTAACTTAGATTTTCTGTTTCCCGTCACTTTCCCAAAGGAGAATTCTTTCTTTTTTAATTAGCTAGGAGATATTCCCTATGATCTGTGAGGACATGCAGCAACTTGCAATATCTGAGGTCCTCTTATTTCTGAGGAAAGCATGGCAATCCATGATGGTGGATTTTCCCACCATTAAAATAAAAAATGATGATAAATATTCCCTTGCCAGCAAAACCATTAATCAAACGCCAAAATGGGAGGATTTATTCTTTGAAGACCATTGGTTACCAACTAGCAATGTGACTTGTAAGTGCATCAATGACTAAGAATTGTTTTATGCAATCGGGATATCACATCTGCAATATATTAAGCCTATGACGTATTGTTATATCAAAAAATTAACATGGTTGACGCGTATTATTAATTTAAAGATATTATTAAAATAATATTTATGTTGTAAATAAGTTTCTTTCATCTCGTCGACACGTCCTTCTTTATATGCAATGCAACTAGTAGTTTGATTCATTATTGTACCAAACATGTCGAGCACATCTCATGACTTTTGTGAGAAAAATAAAAAACCAAATCATAAATTCACAACCAGCGATTCAAATATGTGCTGGCAAGCTTTTGCCAGATAAAGATTCTTTAAGAAAAACCACAAGAGATTAAGGGAAACACGGAGGGAATAAAAGGATACAAAAATATATCATGAAAATATAGAGTTTATGCAATATTCAAACAATTTCAAACATCAAACTGCTTTTAGTCCTTGTCACATGGTTTGTCTGCAACAACTTCACCACCAGTTTTTAGGGTTTTGGATGAAGGAGATGCAAACTGGGAACCAAAACCCCAAAACAAAAAGAAAAATAAGATCCAAAATCGAATGCTAGGAGATCATGAACATGGTAGAATATTATTTAGCCTACAGGCCCTGATCAACAAGGTAATCGCCCAACCTCTCAACAACCATGTTGCACTGCCCTGGAGTCACTGGTTCTTCATAGATTCCAAATACTAGAGCTTGCCCAGTTTTCTTTATGGTGATTCCTCCAGAGCCCTAAAAAAACCAATTACAAAGGAGATCTTAGTTTAAAAGTTGTGCAATAAGTATGTGTAGTCCGATTATGGAACGGACAAAAGAACAAATTGTTGATATGAAATCGATGATGTGTTGACATCATTATAGTTTACAACATGTATTGATACGTTATTGATACATTATCGACAATATGGGAGGCTCGTACCTTCTTTCCACGAATGACAGCGCCAGGCTCTCCCTGGATTACCATGTACTTTGTGCCTCCAAGGTGCAAGCCAGTTGGAGCAAGGTGGCCCGGTTCCTCAAAATCCTTGTTGATACCAGTCATCTCCTCTGGCTTAAACTGCATGTGAAGAATGATATATAATGAACCCTAATTAAATCCACAAGCACATGCATTTCTGTATGAAAGAGATCAACCACAGATTCACAATGCTGCATGTGCAATCAGCTACATTGAACACCAACCAGCATACAATAAGGACGGCCATATAAGTATATTACGTTGTCAAATTGTGAGCACATACTATTGATCATGACAAAATATGCTTGAATGTGTGTCTCGCTTCACATTAGGACAATATAATCATATATTATGTGGCAATAAGAAATCAATATCTTATGATATTTTGAATGTATGGATCAGATGAAGTAAAGCATGTAATGCAACTATGTTGAACACCAAACAACATACAACAAAAACGATGATAATATACTATGTTGTCAGATTGTGAACATGGATTGTTGATCATGACTATGCAAGCTTCGAGATGGTCTCTATTCACAGTGTGACGATATAACCAAATATTATCTAGCAACACAAGTCCAAAAAGAAAGCACAAGGGAAGGCACGCAAATAGTGAAAGGTAAAGAGGTAGGGTTGGACCTGGGGGAAGGAAGAGCTCTTGGCCCAGACACTGCCATCAAGACCGATGATGGCAGCGGCAGTGAGATGCTGTCCCTGGCCGTCAATATCGCACATCAAGTGGTCGTCCACGTAGGTCTGCCACGACATTTTCGATTACCTCTGATGTTGTAGTGCAAGAGTCTGCCTTGTGTTATGCTTGTGTTCTTGTTTGTTGGTGTACAGATAGCTGTGAGAATTTTTCTGAAGGAAGAGGTGATTTGTTTGTTTGGTGGAGTTATTAATATTGTGGTTTGGACTCCATTGGGGTTGGTTTTGAGAAAGCAAATTATAAACAGAGGGAGGAGAGAGAAATGTGGGGGGAGGGGAGAGCCTTGAAAGAGGGAAACATGGATCTCATCTGATGGCTCACCTCCATTCTCTCTCTATCCTTCATATTTCATGCTGCCACGTGTCACTTTATCCTTGGTCTTTGCACTGTTTTGACCATTTTTCCTCTGTTTCTGTTGGAGAAATATTGCTATTTATCCCAAATCTCCTCTCTCAAATCCATCCATCAATTACCCTGCCAGAAATTGGCAACAGAAATGCTTTATTCCCTCTCTCTCAAATCTCCAAACTATCCCAGAAAATTGTACAACCAAGAACCAAAAGTTGTTTAATGTTGTAGTTCGACTTTGGAATATACGTATGTTCTTCAATCCGTCAATATAACATAGATAACACATAAATGTCATTGTTGCTAATGAAATGCGTAAACACGCTGTTGATGCATTTTCAACAACAACATGTCTATTCTTTATTGAAGAACGAATATTTTGCGCCAAGAATTTCTAATAAAGGTTGATAACAAGATTATCACATATCATCTGTTGGATCAATTGATATCAAAACTTTGAGGCCTCGTATTTAAATTCAAACATATGGTGCACCGAGAACGAATTAAATTGGTAAAAAGATTTGTAGCATTCGTAGCAACTCAAACAATCTGTAGTTTGTTTGAAATATTCTTCATTTCTCTTCACAAGTTCAACAAACTATGAAAATGTATCCTAAATGGGGAATTTTTACTACAATTGCAACAGTTAGGGCCTTTATGACCAAATTGCTTCCTTTCTGCTTGTTAGTTTCGGACTCCACAAAAAAGTGAGAAAGTTTAAATGATCTGAAAAATCTCAGCCCCATTACAGGTCGCAATCATTCGCTAAGTCGATAAGACCTCCCTCTGAAAGCCACACCAGCAGCAGCTGGGGCAGGTTCTTGGGTTCGGCTAGTTGGTGGAGGAGCTCCTATCCTCCATCTTGCGACTATTTTACGTCTGTGCAGTAACAGTTAAGGAAATCTTTATGTGCAAACTACATTCAAGTGAGTATGATTAGTTGACGAAAGTGAGAAATCAATTACCATGTGGTAGACTGCCATTAGTTTTGAAACAGTACCGCTAAAGCATGGCGATGACCCAGAAAAGAGAATGACAACTAACACTGCCATACGAGGATGATTATGATACATTTACTTAGGTATGCTAATGTGGATATCTGACTACAAAACTAAAAACTTGACTACAATGAGCTACAAGTAGAATGCAATAGAAACAGATAATATGTGAAAGAGAATGAATGACAATATGATAGCTTCGCTTTTGCATGAATTTACTTTGCAATTTTAAAAAGTAGATGAATAAAAGTAAGGATACACCCATCTTGGAGTCTGTAATATGTTCTTTCCACCTGCCAATGGATGCAACACAGTCAAGAAGTAAAACAGATGTCCGGCAATGATTCCCAGCAGATCTGGCATAATTGGGGAACCAAAGATGACGTCCAAAGCAAGCATTGCCCAAGGTAGATAAAACGCCTGCAATCACAATATACAGATTGCATGCACTATTATGAATACGGTAGATGTAGATAAATTATAAAAGAGAAGCACCCAAGAGAAACTTTTATTGTATACCAATGTGCATACCTTAAGTTGCACGAGACCATATATGTTGACGTTGGCATTCGGAAATTCTCTACTCCAAACATAAACAAGCATGAACACGAGAGATACCCCCAAGAAAGGAGAATAGAAAATAGGGATAGCAGATAAAACCTAAAATTTCAAGACAAGAGTAAAAGGTGAAAACAGGATATATGATTGGCGTACAATTCAATGACAATAAGATCCTATCAAGCTACACTATATGAGACATTATCACATGAGCAGCAACTTCCTTAAGTTTCAAACTTTCAATAGAAGATTTCCCTATCATACGAAAGGTTCTAATAATAGACTGACACTGAACAGGAAGATGAAGAGTAAAAACCAAGTAAATCGGCCTTTTGAGTTCAAAAAATCAATTCCACTTTAAATTCTAGACAGCTTTTGAGATTGTAAGTTAGCCTGGACACCACAGAAAACCGTATTTGACCTTTTCATTCAGAAGAAAGAGATTAAATTGCAAAATATGATGAAGATAACTCACGCACCAACAATGTCGTGGCTCCAAATACCATCATCCACAAGAAATCTGCTGTTCGTCGATCAAATGGTCCCTTTTCAAGTTGAACCCCATATCTTGCTCTGTAAAATCATTAACATTTTCATATTACTGCATGATTAATTAAGTTCCCTTATTGAATCCATTGATCCAATACTTAAAAGAAGAACGAATCTATCTCCTATGCTGCATAACAGGGAAAATTGTATGCTTTCTAAAAGGAGAGGTACCACTTTGCTGCAAAGGCACAAAAAAAGATACAAGAGTATAGACTGTGACAAAGATCTATTTTCAATTCATCTGACTAGGTATCCTATAGAACTATAACTTACATCATCAGAAGGCGGATTCCAAAGTTGACGGAGAAGTTTCCAAGGAAAAAGAAGTTTGTAAACAACCTCCAAACCTACAAAGAATGGTGAAGTTAAAAATCCAATTGATATCTTAACAACTATGCACAAATCTTAAATTATCTGATGGGATACATACCTGGAAATGCAAGAATACTAGTTTATGTACTAATGCAATACTTTTCCAATCATAAAACCCCAATTGAAAGGCTGTAGTTGCAATTACACAGAGGGTACCATAAGCCTTGCTTATGGGTGGGAGTGACTGATACCATCTGAAAGAAGCAAACAATATATGGTTGTAACTTGTGATTGGAGCAACTGTATCTTCAGGAAAACAATAAGATGCACAAGATAGCTGGATGATCGTAATCAATCATTGTGGACAGGAGCGGAGCCATTCATATGAAGATAAAATCATACACAATCATACACTATATTGTTATCAAATGACTAAACCACTTGTTGATATGCTAATTTCAGCCGGAAGTTATACACCCATAGCAATGCCTAATTCAACTCATCCAAAGAACAATATACGGCTAAGGTGATATATGACTTTTGCTTCAACATGCTGCCAAGTAAAAGAAAATCTGAAGTTGGGTTCTTTTTCCTATACCCTAGTTTTACTGTTTTGAGGGAAAACAATAACAGATGCTGAAGCTAGCTCGATTATGATAATCCATCATTGCAAACCGGAGCAGAGCCATTCATATCAAGATAAAATCATACACAATTTATCAATCATACACTATATTGTCATAAAACGACTAAACCGCTTGTTGCTATACTAACTTCATCTGGAAGTTACACCGCCCACAACAATGCCTAACTTATATCATCTGGCCAATCCGCAATCACAAAACCCCGATTTCTTCGGGTAGCAACTCAAAGTCTTCAAGGCCATGAAACCAGTGCAAACACACTAACAAATTTAGTATAACCAACACTAGCATCTCAAGGAATCCCATTTAAGAATTGGGTTTATCAACTTTCCAAAAAAAAAAATCTGGATTTATCAGATTGTACATTAACACAGTTGAATTCAAGTCTAGGGTATAAAATTGCTGCTAAATCATAGCTAAACAAAAACACCATAAAATGCAACCTGAAGCAGGCTAGTACAATGTAACAGCACCAAAATCAAAACCCAATATATTAATTCAAGTATATTGGCAGATAAATATACATATGTATACGTATATATCACAAGAATAATAATCCATGAATCTGAGAACGAGATAGAAAGAAGAAAGAAGAGGGTATAAGTATTACTCGGCAGGAGAAGACATGGCTGACCCAGAAAGAAATTAATTTGAACGGTTACCCAGTTGAGATCTCTCCTCTAATTCCTAATTGCTCGGTTCGACCAAGTAACTTCGAATTGAAGGAAAGGGAAGAAGAGGTTTGCTCATACAAGAACGACGACCCAGAAACCAGAAGCTCCTCTAAGGCTATCGCTTTCGTGCACGTTTTTTGGTACTCGCCGCACGCGCGAACAGCTTGCAATTGGGTTGTCAATTGGGCCGACCATGTGCATGTTTGGGTTAAGGCCCTATGGGGCTGGGCACTGACCCAAAGGTTACCGTCTGGATGTGGGTATCTGGGCCACTGAGTCAAAAGGTTACTAACCCAAAAGTTGGGTTCAATATGGGGAAAAATAAAACAAAATTTACGTACATAATAAGATTTGGGGTGTGATATCTACACTCCTTTTTTTACTTCTCACACATCTTTCTAATTTTCGGTCGTTGGATCGGATGAATTGAAAAAGATCAAGAGATAGAAATCAATAAGGGGTGTGTGAGAAGTCAAAAATGGTGTGTGGATAGCACACCCTAAGATTTAGTGGCGGATTAAAAAAAAATTACTTGGTACAGATATGCATCTTGGTCTCGAGTTCTTGCCTAAATTTCTTGATGGGTGGATTTTAGCAACGGTGGGGTCAGAGACATCGAGGAGGGAAATTTGGGTGAAGTGAGTGAATTTTGTGAAATGTTGTTGAAATGGAAGAGAAAAGCCGAAAATGACTACTGGTTTAGGTAAAAAAGAGGCTACGCAACCTCACGCCACCCTGCCTTGCCCAACTGATGCGTGGGCAAAATGTAGTCATCTACGGAGATTTTTCGAAGTCTGGGTGGGTAGCTGCGCACCCTTGCCATTGAACGGGTCCACCCTTGTGTATCTACATTAGAGCGAGTGAAGGCTATTACCCTGCTCGCCATTTTACTACTCATGAAGTTGCCCAGGACTACACTGACGTACGTGGTTGTTATGGGAAGCAAGGTATAGGGCAAAATACTTCCGCAAGGGCCGAGGTAAGGCAAAGAAGTAAAGTGTTGTCCAGACTTAGGCATCTGTTCTAGCTTGAATTAATCATTCCTCTTCAAAGTCAAATTTTGAAAGCTTATTACATCTTACCCCAGATACTGTTCATGAATCCGCCACTGATAAGATTTGATATGACAATGCCATTTCTGCTGTAAATTATTGACTGACGAGAGAAAAGTTGCATGAAATATTTTATATGCACGTACATCTTCATCATACGTTTCACCTAATTGATCATTATGCAGAGGGTTCTAGAGGGTCCTAATTCATCGTTAAGAATTAGTTAGTGTTAAATTTCCATATTTTATGGTTTGCTTTTGGAAGAAAATCATCACTGCACCAGTCATGGTCCTGGTGGACCAAACCAGACCTGCCCATCTTCCTAAGAGATTATACATATATATATATATATATATATACACACACACAGAGAGAGAGAGCCCAAATGACCTGTCTGCTGCTGCTGCCAACTTCTCATACATTGATACGTTCTCCAGCAGCACCATGCCGCTTTCAAATGCTTGCCTGGAAATGTTACAAGGAAAAGACCCCTGAGTTGGTTTTTAAATATCTTGATCTGTGTCCTTTGTGGATTCACCAAAACTTTGTTTTGTGTCAAAAATACAACCAAATGGATTGTCCCTATGTGCTTTTATAACGTTATCAAACATCGATTTACATGCCAGATTTTTTTATGCTTAGGATCCACCATACAGTGCGTTTGATTTTCATGTACTACACGTTTAATGTACACTAGCTTGCTAGGGCATGCGATTTTCACACTTTTATTTTCTTCTTCTGCACTCTAATTTTTTCCATCTCCACTTCTTCGGGTTCTCTTGTTTTTCTCTCTTCATTCTCTATTAAATTGTACAATTCTAAATCTAGGAACAAAGGAATGAATGGTAAAGAAGTAAATAGGAGGGCAAAAATTATGACTTCCGTGATAGTGTTACCTACTAATAACGTCAAAAGTAGTGATTGTAAAAAATTTGTTTTCCTTTCCATGATGAAAGTTTAACTTTCGTTCAGTTTCACGCTTAAATATAAGGAGAATTTGGTTCTAACATGCATTGATATTCAGGAGAAAAGTTTTACTACTCTTGCGTTGCTTTGGACATGATGGTAACTCTAATGCATGATACAATATCTACTCTCACATTTTGGTGATAGTTCGACTCTTATGTGATTTCACACAACTAAAACCACTCGATGCTGACCTTCACATTCACAACAAAAGTTCGACTGGTCTTGCCTTGGACAGATTAACACCCGTAACTCCTATGAAGTGACAAACCTACTACCTAGTTCGCTTAAGTAATTACCCCTTGGATCTTAATTAGTGGATGAAATTAATTTTGTAAACTCAGAAGCCTCATGATGCTTCTTGTCGTTGCAACACAAAGCAAAGCCAGCCGACAGAGTGGTACTATATTGACAAACATTGTCGTTGCTATTGCCTATTATTTTTGGCTAATAATTAAATAAGGATGTGGGATTAAAAGTTAATATATGAGGAGAAACCATTATTATATAGCTTTATCGGAGTGAAACATTTGGTAGCGTAGCAATGCAACAACCATCATGGTTTGAATGAGACAGTGCCAAGCAATCAAATGTGGTATGCCTACAAGCTTGCTCCCCACAGATTTGAAGTGTGCCCACCCGTGACGAATTAGATAAGGTTAATTACTAGTGAAAATTAATAAAAAAAAAGTTTCATTAATCATCTATTTAATCTAGTTATTTACCTTTGTTATTTCTATTGTTTGGCAGTTTGAAAATGAATTCAAAAAAACACTTTTGTTCATAAACGCGATTGTTAGAAGTGCTTTTTGAAAAGATATTCTAAAGTGTTTCATGAAGAAGCATCATCTCTTAAAAAAAAAAAACACTTCTACTTATATTAAAAGGACTTTCAAAGAGTTAGTAATGGTTTTAGTGTACTAGTGGGATTATGGCATTTTCCAGCGAGTTCTCTCTTATTGTTCTGAACAAAAAAAAAAAGTGTGTTTAGTGAAGAAATAGTGGTTGATGATTGAAAATTGATGTGTTGTTTTGCTTGCTTAAATTTTTAATGCACGTAACAATTAATTCCAATAATATTATATAAGTTTTTTCAAACCAAAAAAACAAGTTCAAATCTAGAAACCTCCCCCACTAGTGACAAAATGGATTAGAAGAAAACATTCCAAGATACACGAAAAACATTGCCTATGACATTTAATTAAAATTGACAGTGGAGAAATTAATTGTTTTTTGGGGCCATGCATGCACCTTGAATAAGACTTAGTAGTGTCCACCTTTTAATGTTGTGCACCGATTATAATTTTTGTTGTGAAATCCCACCAATCTTTTGTCCACTTGTTCCAATTTTGCTGAATTGGGGAACTTGATTTTCTTCAAATTGTCTTTGAATATAACCAGCCAACCCTGTTTTGTCCAAATCCCAATCAGAAAACATTCTTAATTCATGATATATTGGAAGAAAAAGTTAAAAATATGACACAATATTTATGACATTTAATTATCATCATACTCGAATACACAAATAATTCAATGCGCAATGAACGGTTAAAAATGTTAATCACATTAAAAATGAAATGATTTATATGAAACAAGAATATTAAACTTACAGCATTCCACTTCAATTTTATATCTACACTGTGCAAGTTTATCTCTTCGACCGTCACTTCGATAGCATTGTAAAGATTATGTCCGTACTATGTAAATTGCTTTCGTCATAAACAAGTGTCCTGAGCGCCGATTAGACGGTGCCAACAAAACCAAAGGCCACGTGGGCAGCCTTTACTGCTCGTTTATTTACGGCGCGTTGTTGTCCAATCCAGGTAAGCTTTTGAATGACGAGGTGGTGTGACAGCCTTTACCAAGCTGTGCCTCTGACCCCACTTGACTCTCTTGTGGGATCCATTTCTTTTTCCTTTACTTGCTCATTTGCATTTTTTCCTTTACCCCGTCGGGCCCGTCCTTCTTTTCTCTTTTTTATATCATCACTTTTTATGTCTTGGTCAATCGCCAACTCAACTTCAATTGTCGCAACTCAATGTTAATCCAAACTCCATGAATGGCTTTTTCAAAAGTTGGATTTTCTATTAATTCTTTGTCATTTTTTATTTTTGATATAATTTTTATAATATTAATGTAAAAATTAATGTTAAATTTTGAAGTGACAGAAAATTTATAAAGAATCTCATTTTAAAAGAGTTTCTTTAGAATTTGGATAGTGGTAGAGAAATTAAATTGGTAGACAAAATTTTGTAAATTAAGAGCTAGTTTGGTATTGCTGTGTTTTGAAAAAAAAAATTGCTTCTACTGTGTTGTGAGAATAAGCTCATTTTGCTTCTTCACGTTTTCAGCTTTTTTTTACCTAAAACTGTGAAAATAAGCTGTTTTTAAGTGTTTACCAAACACCTTTTTGAGCTCAGCTTTTTTTTATACCTATTTTTTATAAAAGCATCTCAATATCAAACCAGTACTAAATGACATGAAAGTTGATAATTGAATTATGACTGAAACATTGACAAACGTGTTCATTTCTATTAATAATACATCATTAATTTGTAAATTTTATTTACAAATTTAGTGCATTTAGCATTATCCTTAGCATTTCTCTGATATCCAAGACAAAGACTTTTAGGAAGCAAAATAATCCACCAATTGTAGTATAAAGTATAATTAAAAGGAAAATTGAAGTAGAAAAACATCTCCTACCCCTCTCCAACCCCTCCAACCCTTCCAACTAGGACCTCACCTGGCGACAATACAATACAGAGAATATCCACTCCACAATACAAACATAAAGATAAAACGGAAACCAAAAAGTGAAAAGTTAACAATGGTTAGTTGGTAACATGCAAGCAATATAATCCCAACAACACAACCTCCACTTTTCAGTCCCCTCACTCCTAAAAGCTCCTCCTCTTCCCCCTCCTCCTCCTCCTCCACTCCCACTTCTCAAAAACTCTTAAACTTTCAATGGATCCGTGTCCCTTCGTACGGCTCAATGTCGACTCTCTTGCTCTTAAGCTCCCCCACGCCACCAGACCCGCCGGTCCGGGAGTCCACTCCTCCACCACCCCTTGCTTCTGCCAGCTCAAGATCAAAAACTTCCCTCCCCAAACCTCCATTGTCAACCTCTCCACTTCCACCGGCGACTCCCCGCCGGAATCCTCCACGTCCGCTCCCGGCTTCCACGTGGATCCCACCATGCTCAGGAGGCTGGCCGGGAAGACCGTCGCTCTCCGGGTCTCAGTTTATACTGGTCGGATGGGCCAGACGTGCGGCGTTACTAGTGGGAAGTTGCTCGGTCGAGTCCAACTTAACATTGACTTGAACTCGGCCAAGGCCCACCCAACCGCGATACACAGCGGGTGGGTGAAATTAGGGAAGGACTGCGACAAGCCCTCCGCCAGGCTGCACTTGACGGTTCGAGCTGAACCAGACCCCCGGTTCGTTTTCCAATTCGGAGGTGAGCCGGAGTGCAGCCCGGTGATTTTTCAGATTCAAGGGCGGGACATACGACAGCCCGTTTTTAGCTGCAAGTTCAGTGCGGACCGTAACTCCAGAAACCGGTGAGTTTTCCTTTACTTGCGGTTCTGGCGCACTATAGTCCTGAGTGATTGACTTTAGCTAACGTGAGCCCTGAGTAGTGGTTAACCTGAATGCGTAAATTATTCTCTTTTTTCTTTATCTGTGTTTCTTTTTTGGGTGAGTTACTTTTTTATCTGTGTCGTTTTTGGCGATTTGGGTTTTGGATTACGCATTTTTGTGGTGGCAGTATTAGGTGGCGTCCAAGAGTCACATGCCCAGTTGATTCAATTTTTAGGATTTTACGTTCTTTCTTCATGCTAGTTAGTGCCTCTCCATGTGTTTTCTTTTATGAATTACTTTCTTTTTTACTAAATTGAGTTAGTCGTCCTGATAATGTTAACGAGAAATACTTTAAAATAAAACGATTGAAAAAAAATACGCAATACTTGTAATGGAACAATCGTGACTCCACGCATTTGTTGCAAGGGCTTGGAAGATTTGACACGAAACATTTCACCTAGTTTGGATATATCTTCGTCGTTCTTGTTCAATCTTAGGAGACTGACTATATATATGGTATATTGAATTACTTAACAATCACTCATTAACGGTTAAATATGGCCGTCAGATGTCATTCCAACAGATCTGACAAACCGAACAAGAACATGGATGTATTGTAGCCAAGTCCATGAATGTCTGGTAAATTGGTTGCTTGGCTTCAAAGATTTTGCTGTTAATTTTCCTGCTTCCACCAGCCGAGAATGTTAACTGAAGCAAAACACCAACCAAATTATTTGAAACAACTTGCAAGTATTTTCGAACAATTAGCGGTAGTTGCGTTGCATATCTAGTCAAACAGAAAATCCTCAAACTGTATCTTTCATAGTCTGATTAGATTCCCTCCCATGTGCCTATGTATTTGGTCTCAAATTCTACATGTTCTGTTTAAGATTATATTCCTGTTTTTAATAGTTTCCTCTGCCCTAATCCCTATTAAACAAATTAATTAAACTAATATGATCATAATGATTAATTAATTCTTGATCTTGTGTGGAATCTGCAGATCTCTCCAATCAGATTATACCACCATTAACAATAATAGAGGATGGATGAGAACATTATCTGGTGAAAAGCCATGGAGGGAAAGAAAGGGGTGGATGATAACAATTCATGACCTATCCGGCTCGCCTGTGGCGGCCGCTTCCATGATCACTCCCTTTGTACCCTCTCCCGGCACTGACCGCGTATCCAGGTCAAACCCTGGAGCGTGGCTCATCCTCCGACCCCATGGGTTCTCAATCAGCAGTTGGAAGCCATGGGGCCGTCTTGAGGCATGGCGCGAGAGAGGGCCTATTGATGGCTTGGGGTACAAGTTTGAGCTTGTCACTGACAATGGGCCTAGCAGCAGCATTACCATTGCCGAAGGTACAATGAGCGTCAAAAAGGGCGGACAGTTTTGCATCGACAGTAGGTTAAATAGAGATTCAGGTTTGAAATCGAGGTCACCCGTGAAAGGTTTCGTGACGGGGTCAACCGTGGAAGGCGAAGGAAAGGTTAGCAAGCCGGTGGTACAAGTCGGAGTGCAGCATGTAACTTGCACGGCTGATGCTGCTCTTTTCGTCGCGCTTTCTGCCGCCATTGATCTCAGCATGGACGCTTGCCGGCTGTTTTCTCATAAACTCCGAAGGGAGCTCTGCCATGATGAGCAGAATTGCTTCTCCTAATTAAAACTGGTTTAAATCTTAATTTTCTTACTAATTCATCCTCTCTGCCGCTGTAACAACCAATTAGTTTTTACTAAGTTTGAGCACTGAAATATGCATTTTTTATTTTTATTTTTAATTTCATTTTTTCTCCACATTCTTTGATTTGATTTTCCTGGTTTTGATTCTGCCAGTGGTTTTGGTGTTGGTTACACCTTGTAAATGTATTAGGGAAATTTATATAATATTACATCGTTCTGTGACCTATATACAAGAAACTTTCAAATAATATAGGCAAAAAAAGAGAACTGTTTGTAATTTTATGGTTTATTGTATTTTTCAGAGGAAATTGTAGCAATCCATCAACTTTAACCTAATTTAAATAATGATCCTCAACTAAAAATCCGTGACAATTGGTTCTCTAACTCATTCAAACATGCAATTGGGTCTTTTTCGTCAACTTCGTCAGGATTTCCGTCGAAATGAGACACATGTCATGCACGTGAGGCTAAATCAAGGGCCAAATATAGAAACCCAAATGAGAAAGTTGTAGCAATGGTCCTTCAATTTTAACTCAATTGGAGAAATTGTCTCTTAAATTTAATCCAATTATAGCAATGACCCTTTCACCATGACTCATTTTGACGGAAGTTCTGACGGAATTGATAAAAATGACTATAGATGCATGTTTTAATAAGTTAAGGTACCAATAGTCACAAAGTTTTAATGAGTTATGGACAGACGATTTCCTATGAATCTTAAAAACAAAAAACAAAACTCAAATATCATCTACATCACCTCGGTATCCAAATCTATATATCCACATTACTAACACAAAATCAATATCAAATCCATCCACATTACCTATACATTTGGTATTAAATCCGTCTACATTATCTACATATTTGGTATCAAACTCATCACATTACATACACGTTCAATATCAAAATGAATAATGAGAACCTTAGCTATTAATTGAACCCATCAGCTCAATATGATAAGTTTTTAATAAAAGATCATATAAGGGTGTATGTATTTTTCCTAAAATATTATAATGCAAGGGGTTGAAATCTACTTTTCTGTTTAAATTGCTAGGCTATAGAGATTAGCTTAGGATTGTGCTAAGTGTCATGTATTAGATGTGTGCCATGTGTTACAAGTGTATTAGATTAGTTAGTTATATGGGGATGTATTTATATATAAACAAGTGATGTAATAATTCATTAATCAATACAGTGAAATATTGAAGAAATACACTATCTCTCTCTCTACTTTCTCTCTCAAAACTCTCTATAAGATTTGTTAACATGATATCTTCATCGGTGACGATTAACTCCTCCTGTTGACGACGATCCTTATGCTTTTGCTTCTGCTTGTATCTGTCATTGTTGGTGTTTCTGTTCACGTCTCTGTCACTCGTTGTTGTTGTTTGTACTTTGAAGCTATGTCGGTGCTAAGTCGATGCACGAAGTCGGTGAATGAAACCCTAATTTCTTTGGGTTTTCTGTAAGTCGGTAGTTAATTCCTTGATTCTTGCTTCCTTCGGTGACGATTGTGTTACTATTTGTTGGAATTGTAGTTTGTTGGTATTGATTCTTGATTCTTCGATTGTCGATATGTTGGTTTCTTCTCGTTGAAGCAAAGTCTCTCGTTGATTGGTTGTGTTCATATACAATGGTTACTATTGCTTAGTTAGCGCTCACTCAATCACCGATCTCTTCGTTGATTCCTAATGTTGGAAATACTGTGACTGTGAAACTTGATGATTCCAACTATGTTACATGGAATTTTCAAAATGGAACTCTTGTTAGATGGCAATGGGAATTCTTGGGTTTGTTACTGGTTTCATTCCTTGTCCAAATAAGTATGTAGATTCTGATTCTGCAGATGAGATTGTTGAAAATCCATCAGTGATTATTGATGTATACAAGGTTTGGAAGATTCATGACAAATCTTTAATGACTCTTATCATTGCCACATTATCCACTGCTGCTTTATCTTGTGTTATTATCTATTAAAGTTCCATAGAAATGTGGACTAATCTCAAAGAAAGGTTCTCTAATATGACAAGAACTAGTATTGTTCAGATGAAAATTGATTTACAGAATATCAAGAAATGACTAGAATCTATTGATTTGTATATGCAAAGAATTAAAGATTGTAGAGACCAACCTGTTGATGTGAGTGTGCTGATTTCATATGAAGATATTGTAATTGTAGCTCTTCGAGGTCTTCCTCCGAAGTATAATACTATTAAAGTTGTCAGTAGGGGAAGAGAAAACCTTGTTTCTTTTAAAGAACTTCGATCACAGTTAAGAGCTGAAGAGTCTACATTGGAAGAAGTGATTAAGCAAACTCCTGCGATGACTGCCATGTTTGCAAATTCTCAAAACTCTGGTTTTAAGGTTGGTAGTTCTTTTGGATCAAAGCCATATCCTGAAGTTGGTACTCACACTGATTGTCATTTTCAACAGATGCCTCAACTTCACCAGATGCCTCAATTGCAACAGATGCCTCCATTTCAACAGCTGCTTCAATTACAACCAGTTCAACCAATGCAATTTTCCCAATTGAATGGACCATTTGCATATGTGACTCAAAATGGTTCAGGGACATATAACAACTTTCGAGGTGCTAATTTTAAACCAAAAGGCAAAGGGAAAAAGTTTTATTCTAGTCATCCACAATTTTTTCAGCAACCTTTGGTCCATGGTTCTTCATCATCACAACACCCTCTACAACATCAGTCTTTTCAGCAACTGTGCAGTTCAATGCCAACATGACAAGTGTCTCAACCATTCTAATTTTGTCAAATTTGCAACAGAAAATGTCATAGTGCTCTTACTTGTTTTCAACAAGGGTGTCAGATATGTCACTAAGTTGGTCATACGGTGCAACCTGTTTTGACAGAAACAATTCTCCAAGTCCATCTATGCCTATACAACATACTTTTCCATCTTATTCTCAACAGTTTCAGTCTTCACCTTCTATCATGCCTCTCAATGCATAGAATCATGTCATGTCTGGTTCTACTCAGGCTCCCAACATGATGGCTTCTTCTTCTTATAATCCTGTTATGATGATGTCTCAGCTTGTGCCGTCTTGCAATGACTACATAAACCAGTGTTTCTCTTTATGCATCCCAAACTGAGTATTGGTTGCTGGACTCTGGTGCTACAAATCACATGACATTTGACTTGTCTAATCTCTAAATGGCTACTCCATATTCATCTTATGATACAGTAACTGGAGCTAGTGGTAAAGGTTTGCATATTGCTCATATTGGCAAATCAACTATCACTTCAGTCACATAATTTTCATTTAAAGTCTCTCTTACATGTTCCCAAGTTGTCTCAACATCTGCTCTCTATGCATCAATTATGCAAAGATAATAATTGTAGGTGTATTGTTGATGAATTCTTTGCGTGCATACAGGACAAAGTCACTCAGAAAATTCTCTATCAAGGATTGAGTAACAATGCAGTTTACCCAATTCATGTGATCAAGACTTCCAAAGCATCTCTAGTAGCTTATATAGGTCAGAAAATAAACTTTACACTTTGACATTGCAGATTGGGTCATCCTACCAATTCATTCACTAAGGTAGCTCTTAGTAAAACATATGACAGCCCTCACACTTGTACTGCTTGCCTGCAAGGCAAGTTTACTAGACTCTCATTTCCCTTAATGGCTTCAAAATCTATTGTTCCTTTTAAAGTTATTCACTCTAATGTCTAGGGACATGCTCCTAGTATGTCTATAGAAGGTTATAGATATTATGTTTCATACATTGATGAATGTACCATATACACCTTGATATTCCTATTAATGAATAAAGCTGCTGTTTTTGAAACTTTTGTTCAATTTCAAGCTTTTATACAGAATTCGTTTTCTACAAATATCAAAATTTTCCAGAGTGATGGTGGTGGAGAGTATGTGAGTGCTTAGTTTCAAGCTTTTCTTAGAAGTAAAGGTATTCAACATCAAAGGTCTTGTCCATACACTCATAAATAGAATGGCCTAGCTAAAAGAAAAAATCGCCACATTGTTGAAACTGCCATAACACTTATTCAACAAGCATTACTACCTTCACAGTTTTGGTATCATGATTGTGCCGCAACTATTTACCTCATCAATAGGATGCCCACCTCTATATTGTCCATGCAGTCGCCATTTGAGATATTGTATCATTCAACACCTAAACTAGATCATTTGAGAGTGTTTGGTTGTGCTTGTTATTCTTCTTTGAAACCATATAGAACTAATAAGCTTGAATCTAAAACCACTACCTGCATTTTTTTTGGAATATGCAGCACAATTAAAGGGTTTTATTTGTTATTCTCTTCAGGATCATAAAATCATTGTGTCCAAACATGTTTTATTTGATGAACATGTGTTTCCTTGATTCCATAAGATCTCTAGCTCTCAGTCACCTAAACCTTTGGTTGTGCATCCCACTACTTTTCATCATCCACCATTGGTTCCTATTCCTTTCCCATAACTGTTTTCTCAGTCTACTTCTCCAACAAATGTTACTCAGTCCTACTCTCAGTCAACAAGTGACCTTGTCTCTACTGGTGGATCTCTACAGTTGGTTCAAGACTCTACCTCTACATAAGTGCCTCATTTTGAGTTATATCCATATGTGTCCATGTCTCAAGCAACATAGTTACAACATGTGTCTTTATCCTCAGGAAATGTTCATCCAATGCAAACTAGATCTAAGTTTAGCATTATCAAGAAGAAGCAAGTTTTCAATGCTCATGTGCAAGAAGATTCCTCTGTTAGAGAGCCTCAGTCCTACTCTGCAGCATCTAAAGTTGTTCACTGGAAAACAATTATGCAAGAGAAGATGGATGCCTTAGTTCAACAGGGCACTTGGAGTTTAGTTCCACTTCCTCCTAATAAAAATGTGTTAGGGTTTAAATGGATATATAAAGTTAAATAGCATCATGATGGTTCGGTTGCTCGCTATAAAGCCTGATTAATGGCTAAGGGGTTCTCTCAGGAAGCTGGCCTTTATTTACTATGAAACATTTAGCCCTGTAGTTAAACCTACTATAGTGAGGCTTATGTTATCTCTAGCTGCTTCAAAAGTGTGGAAACTGAAACAAATGGATGTCAAAAACGCTTTCTTACATGGCTTTCTTGACAAAGAAGTCTTTATGGCTCAACCACAAGGCTTTGTGGATGTTGATCACCCTGAGTATGTTTGTAAACTTCAAAGGTCTCTTTATGGCTTAAAACAAGCTCCGAGAGCTTGGAAT